TGACTTCTCACCTCTCAGTTCTTTCTTTGATTTCTTTCCTCTCTTTTTGGCCAGAGCGCTGGTTGGATGTCTGGAGTCTAGGACTCTGTGGTGTGGTTTAAGCCATGCACCTTGTCCTCTCTGAACCTTAGCAAAAGCGAGCGAGGTCTGGATTACCCCAGACATCTAGCAGTAGGCTCCGGGAGATCAGTGTGCCCCTCCATGTTCTCCAGGTCCCCTTGCCTCCCCCGCGTTCCTCCCGACGGCTCCGCGCTGGCACTCTGGAAGCCCTGGTCAGACACCTGTTGGACGCCAGGACGGCAGGGACTGACGTGACTTTCACGCCAGCCTTGCTAGCCACACACCGGGCCTTCACCTCCACGCCAGCCCTGTTTGGGCTTGTGACTGACAGGTCCGGGACCGAGGGTTGAGGGGCTCCTGGATGTGCTCTGAGCTCACAGCGCCAGGGGGGTTGGCAAAGCGGCGTAGGTAGAGCCTCTCCTCATCCCCAGGCTGGAAGCCCTCGAGCTGCGTGCTCCTGGCGAGCTAGAGAGGACCACAGGGTGAGTGGCCCCTGACTCTACCTCAGTCCCCTCTGAGGAAGCTGAGGTTGGACCTCTGACCCTTGGCTGGTTCCCCTTCTCCCAGGGTAGCCATCTCCGTTCTTTCAACCTGGCTGGCCTCTCACCCTGAGGATTTTGGCTCTGAGGTCAAGGGTCAGCTTGACCGGCTTGAGAGCTTCTTGCTTCGGACAGGGTATGCAGCACGGGAGGGTGTTGGGGGGGGCAGTGCTGACCTCATCCGAAACCTTCGGGCCCGGGTAGATCCCCGGGCCCCCGACCTTCCTAAGCCCCTGGCCCTTCCTGGCGATTCCCCTGCTGACCCCACGGATGTCCTGGTGTTCCTCGCTGACCACTTGGCCGAACAGCTGACCCTGCTAGATGCGGTGAGACCTTGACCTTTGACCCTACACTCTCTGACCCCTCACTAACTCTCCTGGGCTCCAGATCCTTTCCTTGCTTCCAATGCTCCTGGATTCCTCTGCCATCTGCTGCTCTGACCCTCCCTTCCCTCCTCCCTGTGGCTGTGATCCTCCAGCTCTGTGCCCTGCTGGTCCCTGGTATTGGAAACTTGCCTGGCTTGTCTATGAATTGTAACCTCTGACCTCCACCCTGCAGGAGCTGTTTCTCAACGTGATCCCCTCTCAGTGTTTGGGAGGCCTCTGGGGTCACAGGGACCGGCCAGGACACTCTCACCTCTGCTCGTCTGTCCGAGCTACTGTCACACAGTTCAACAAGGTGGCAGGGGCAGTGGTTAGTTCTGTCCTGGGGGCCACCTCCATTGGAGAGGGGCCGGGGGAGGTGACCGTGAGGCCCCTCCGACCCCCACAGAGGGCCCGGCTCCTGGAGAAGTGGATCCGAGTGGCAGAGGTGAGAACGAACAATTCTACTGGGGGGCTGTGCCGTGGAGAGGGGCCCTAAGCCTTGACTCTGTTTCCTGTCCTCACAGGAGTGCCGCCTGCTTCGGAACTTCTCCTCAGTCTACGCTGTTGTGTCTGCTCTGCAGTCCAGCCCTATCCACAGGCTTCGGGCCGCCTGGGGGGAAGCAGCCAGGTGGGAGGCTTGGAGCGCCCGAGGCCTGGAGTGCAGCAGCTAAGCCAGGCCTGTGCTCAGACTGCTCTTCCTCCCTAGGGACAGCCTCAGAGTCTTCTCCAGCCTGTGCCAGGTTTTCTCAGAGGAAGATAATTATTCCCAGAGCAGGGGGCTCCTCATGCAGGTGAGGCCAGTCTTGCCTTCCCCACCTCTGCACCTGCTCCCTCCTCCCAATCACCTGGTCTCTGTCACCACCAGGAAGTGAAGCTGCAGCCCCCTGTGGAGCCACACTCCAAGAAGGCGCCAAGGTCTGGCTCCAGGGGTGGGGTGAGTGACCAGAGGGGCTGGGACAGGAGGCTCTCCTGGTGAGGTGAATAAAGCCCGTTCTGTGGAGGGAAGGGCTGTTTTCTGACAGGAGTCTGGCCCTGACCTCTCTGCAGGGTGTGGTTCCATATCTTGGGACCTTCCTAAAGGACCTTGTGATGCTGCACGCAGCCTCTAAGGATGAGCTGGAGGTCAGTGGTTTTGTGTGTGTGTGTGTGTGTGTGTATGTGTGTGTTTGCGAGAGGTCCATCCTGGAAGGCTTAACAAGGGCACTTAAAGGTCAGGCTACAAGACAGAAGCAGCAGACTGGCTACAGTTTCTGGAGCCAGGTTCTGTTACCTTGGCAAACAGTTCAATCTCTGCACTTCAGTGGTCTGTCGGTATATGTCCGACTGTCTATGTCAGCCTGTTAATGGGTTCCACCCTCAGTGCTGCAAATGAAAGAAAATGCTGAGGCTTCCAGAAAGCTCCCTGTCCTGCAGTGAGCCCAGTTTTCTCATCTAGAAGCTAGATGCTTTCCCTCAGACAGCAACTTAAAGTCTTAAAAGTGTCCAGTGGAGCTGGGCGTCAGCTGGAATCCCAGCACGGCACGCGGGCAGACACAGGCAGGTATCATGACTTCAAGGCTGGTCTCATCTACGTGGTGAGTTCTAGACCAGTCAAGGCTACACACAGTGAGACCCTGTGAGGCTGAGAGTTTGTGTCTGAGATGTGCCTGGGGACAGGGGTGAACCCAGGGTCTAAGTGGGCGTGCACTGCCTGTTTGGGGACGGGGATGTTCTCTCTGGTGCCCGAGCAGGGTCATCATTTTCGTCCCTTACTGCCCCTGCAGAACGGCTACATCAATTTTGACAAGCGGAGGAAGGTGAGCAGACTGAGGCTGGATGCTGGGCTTCTCCGTCCATGCCCCAGGAAGGGGAAGGGGGAGGCAAACTCAGGGGTCCCTGAGTTTTGGCTCCTGCAGTTTGAGGGCTCCTTCCCAGGAGTTTGCTATCCTTTCCGAGCTGCTACGCCTCCAGAACGAATGTCGTGGCTATGACCTCCGACCTGACCCCGATATCCAGCAATGGCTCCAGGGCCTCCAGCCATTAACTGAAGCTCAGAGGTGACTGGCTGGCTGGGTGGTTGGAGGACACAGGCTGGGGGACGTGGGTGTGTGTGTGTTGGTGGCATGTGCTGACCTCTGCCCATGGCTATCCTGTCCAGTCACCGTGTGTCCTGTGAAGTGGAGCCACCTGGTACCAGCGACTCTCCTGCTGCGAGGATGCTCCGGCCGACGCTAGTCATCTCCCAGTGGACAGAGTAGGAGCACTGCTGGCTGGGAGCTGGTTTCCTGGGGACCTGCCACTGCCCGTTCTCTAATTCCCTGCCTCTCCAGAGTCCTGGGCTCGGTTGGAGGCCCCACCCCTCTGGTGTCCTGGGATCGGCCCAGCGTTGGGGGAGATGAGGTCCCTGGAACCCCTGCTCCCCTGCTGACTCGGCTGGCCCAGGTGAGTCCGCTCTTAACTCTGACTATGCTAAGACATTTCTTTTTCGCCTCCTTCCCTTCTGACTTGACCTGTTTGCCCCTAGCACATGAAGTGGCCGTCTGTCTCCTCTCTGGACTCTGCCCTGGAAAGCAGCCCCTCCCTGCACAGTCCTGCCGACCCCAGCCACCTCTCCCCTCCAGCCTCCTCCCCTAGGCCTTCTCGAGGTCACCGCCGCTCAGCCTCCTGTGGGTCTCCACTGAGTGGGGGCACAGGAGAAGGGGCCTCTAGGGGTGCTGGATATGGGGGAGGAGCATCTGGACCAGGGTCCTCTGATTGCCGAATTATCCGAGTCCAGATGGAGCTGGGGGAAGATGGCAGCATTTACAAGAGCATCTTGGTGAGAGACATTTGTGTCGCCTTGGGTTTGGGCAGCCAGGACTCAACTGTGGCTTCTGTGGGACTCAGAGCAGGTGTCTGACGTTGACAGCAACTCAGCGGGCCACTCCCTGAGTTCTGGGGGCTGCACTACACCTTCAGAGCCAACAGTTTTCCTGCATGCTTGTTGTACTGGGCACCATGTGGGCTGGTTTACCAGGCACTGGCAACCACCATTTTGGGTTTCCTGTTCATTTTAACTCTTCTGGCTGGGTTGGAAGGATAGGAAGCCGGCGTCATATGTATTTATTGCTCTTCTGGTCTCTTGCAAGGTGACAAGCCAGGACAAGGCCCCAAGTGTCATCAGTCGTGTCCTGAAGAAGAACAATCGTGACTCTGCAGTGGCTTCAGAGTTTGAGCTGGTGCAGCTGCTGCCCGGGGAGCGAGGTGAGCAGCCAGGGGAAGACAGAGTAGAGGGTGTGTTCTCACCAGGCCTGGGGGAGCAGTGAATGCCTGACCCCCTCTGCACCCACAGAGCTAACCATCCCACACTCGGCTAACGTCTTCTACGCTATGGATGGTGCATCTCACGATTTCGTCCTGCGGCAGCGCAGAAGGTCCTCTGCTGCCACACCGGGCTCCCACGCTGGCCCCTCTGCCTCAGGAACTCCCCCAAGCGAGGGAGGAGGGGGCTCCTTTCCCAGGATTAAGGCCACAGGGAGGAAGATTGCGCGGGCCCTGTTCTGAGGAGGACGTCCTGTGGTTTACAGAAGTCATAGCGCTTGCACCAGGTGTGAGCAGCCACCAATGGCGGCCATTACACCAGGGCGGAAATTCCGAAAGGTGGCCAGCAGCCCTGGGACAGTGAAGTGCACTTGTTTACCAAACCACCTCGAAAGCCAGCCCCATGGGACTGGTGACCATATAACCAAATTGGGTCCCTGCACATGGCGTCCACCTGGGGAATTTGGCATCCTGTCAGTGCTGGGGAGAGTATACTCCTGCCGCGTGCTAGCCTGTGAAGGGCCCAGGAGAGGCCTAGAGGCTGAGCCCAGGGTGAAGGACGATGGCAGGACGTCCCACGCTGGGGGTTCCTGTCACTGTGCCAACACTAAGATAATAAACCAAACACTACCTGATCCCGTCCCCGTCCTTCAGTGCACAGAGCTGGACACGAGGACTGGGGAATGGGTATGAGGGCACAGGACAAGAGCCAATGGCGCCACTCCCAGAGGTCCCCAGCATGGCTCAGTGTTCACGGGCTTGGCAGGATGCACAAGGCTCTGGTCCGTCCTGGAACCTGAGAGCAAGGTCCTGGTGACAGTTAACCCTGTGATGCCCTCACTCCTGGCCCCTTCATAGACTCGGCTTTCCCTTGCCACAGACCCTAAGAGGCAAGGGGCTCCTGAGGGACAGTGGTCATTGCGGACGTCCCTCAAGACAGAGTTGTAAGAGATAATTTAGGACAAAGAAGTTAAAGAACAACTTTGTGGATATGACACATAAATTTGGGAGAATTTCAGATTAGTTAAGTTACATTCAGTCAGGCGCTGGTGACGCATGCCTTTAATCCCAGCACTTGGGAGGCAGAGGCAGGTGGGTCTCTGATTTTGAAGCCAGCCTGGTCTACAGAGTGAGTTCCAGGATAGCTAGGTTTATACAGAGAATCCTTATCTCAGAACAAAAGAAAAAGTTAGATTCAAAGCAATGGTAAAACGCCAGGTGAAGACGCCAATGCTCTAGGGCTGGGGGGCTGGGGTGTGTGTGTGTGTGTGTGTGGCAGGTGCTAGGTGAGCAACCACATCCTATCCTGGGCTCTCAGGCCGAGAACTCGGGAGTTCCATAGCTAAGCTGACGTTCTCAGCATGACGCTGCACTGCATCTTAGGGAAGGAAAGGTAATGGGCTGCACGAACAGGCAAGACACCGCTTGAGACATTTCAGACTCTAAACTGAAGGTGTACAGGCAAGACCCTGCGTTTAGTTCTCGGCACCAGGAAAACGAGTCACGAGAACTGCCAGAGAGTCCAGCAGCAAGAACTCTATCTCCGAGGCCGTAAACTGACTTGCTTTTGTTTACATTTTATTGGCTATTCTAGTGGGGACCCTGGAGCTGCCTCACCCTCCCTCCCCTCCCCCTTCCATGGGGGTCAGGCCTTCCCAGGAGCCTTTGCTGCCTGGGCTCGCTGGAACTCCTGTTGCAGCTGAGCAAGGGTTTCCCTCTGTTGCTCTGACTGCCGCTCAAGGTCCCGAAGCTGCGATTCGTAGCGCTTACTGAGGAGGGGGAAAAAAGGGACAGGAAGAAAGGGGAAATTAGTGGGGCTCATTGCTGAGTGGCGAAGGGGGACTGGTGGTGAGGTTTGTGGGATGGGAGTCGGGGGAAGCGCTAAGGGAAAGAAAAGGCTGATGAGATGAACCAATCTCCAGAACCCACACGCTGTCCTCTGACTATACCTGAGTTGCCATGACACACGTGATTCCCCCCCCCCCCAATTGTAACACAAAAAGAAAGGTTGAAGTGGTGGCGCCTCTAAGCCGGTCCCTGGGAAGGCAAAAGCAGTCGTATTTGTGACTGAGGCCAGCTTGGTCTAAGCAGTGAGTTCCAGGCCAGCCGATAGTCTATGGCGAGACCCTGTCTCTGGGAGGAGTAAAGGAAAGGAGGGCTTGGGAAATGGATAAGCGGGGCGGCTGTGGAGAACTACCCAGCCCGGGCGGCAAGGCTCTTACATTTCCGCTGTGATATAGTCTAGCCTCTTCCCCACCGTGGCCCGAGCCTCCCCTAGCTCCTGTTTGACAAGCACTGGTCCCAGCAGCTTAAAGACGACGTTGGATCCATCCAGCAAGGCCAGTTCCTGAAGAGGGGATGGGAGGGTTTATGGGATAACCGTGCCCAGCAGAGCTCCTCCTGGCCCCAGCGTCCCAGATCCTCACCTCCTTCACGATATTATTTTCTGTTAGCTGGGCCTCAAGCTTCTGCCTCCCTGACATGGATTTACTTAAGTCTGAGGTGGTGAGAGGAAACGCATGATTAAAAACAGCGAATGGGCCAAGACCCGCACAATCCTGGAGAGGCTGGAGGTGAGGACAGAGCAAGGATGCCGAGGCGAGGGGCACGAGGCTCCCTCCCACTGCGGGGTGCTTGAGCTGAGAGCGGAAAGGGGCAAGACCACGCCAGCTCTGCTCTTACCCTTCTGCAGCTGTTGGTATTTCTCCACTTCTCCCTGCAGCTTCTTTTGGATCAGCTCAGCCATGGTGAAGATGAAAGCCTAGGGCGGGGGTCGCTGGCTCTCAAGAGATGGAAGGCACCTGGGCTCCGCTTTCTGGCCCTGCGGAGGGACAGCACTTTCTATTGGCAGCTCTCTGAGGCACCGCAGCCTTTCCTCATCCAGAGCAGCCACTCCCTAGGAACTGGAGAGCGAAAGCAGACCCCGAATCCTCCAAGCCAAACCCTAACCTCTTCACGTTAGACCCACTGTCTTAATAAACCCGGAAGTAAACAAGGCATGCCGGGAGAAAGACGGCGCCGGAAGCCACATTCTGACACATGCCGGGATATGTAGTTCTGACCTGTGTGACACTCGTTCTACCGAAAGGGCTAGACCCGAGAGGTTTTAGGCAACAGAGAGAAGTTAATCTGGAAAAAAAAAAAAAAAAAAAAAAAAAAAAAAAAAAAAAAACTCACCGTTACCAGGATTCTGGACCCGGACTTTCCTGTTAGTCATCATTTGGTCAGAAGCTGCCCTAGGGCGACCCTGCCGGCTCCTAAAGGCTCGCGGAGGTTTGCCTTCACACAAGATGGCGCCAGAGGCTTCAGATCCCGTACGGCGATGATTGGACGAAGGCCGGAAGTTTCTTAGCTGTGGGACTGCTGAGAGAAGTTCCGCACGTGGGTCGTTGTTTCGCGTCGCTCACCGAGATGGAGACTGCCCCGAAGCCGGGCAAGGGTGTCCCACCCAAGAAGGACAGCCCTCAGGCCAAGAGGAAGGTAGCGCCTTGGGTGGGAGGCGGCGGGCGCCATGGACTCGGACTCCGGGTCGGGCTGCGAGTGCGAGCGCTCCTCTTCTGCCCCTAGAAACCGCGGCGGTATTGGGAGGAGGAGGTCACCCCGGCCGCCGCCCCCGCGGTGCCGCCTCGGAAGAAGGTCAGGGCTCGGGAGCCGCGACCCCCGAGGTCCAAGGTGCGCGGCGCCCTGAAGTCTCACTTCGGCCGGAAGCCCCAAGCCCCCAAGAACGCCTCGGACCGGAAGAAGCCGCGGCGGACCCTGTCTGGGGTGAGCCTGGGACCGACGGGGCGGGGGGCAGTGCGAGTGAGAGGAACCGGGTCGATCGGAACCTGCCCTTTGTCTTCCTTGCCCTCGCCAGGCCCAGGACCCGTTCCCAGGACCCGCCCCCGCGCCCGCGGAGGTGGCCCGGAAGTTTTGCCGCATTGACAAGTCCAAGAAGGTGAGGACGGGCCGGACTGTGGGGTGGGGCTGCAGGGCGGCTCGGCTGGTGGCCTTGCTGGGGCCCCGCGGGTGCTCAGCGGCTCTTCCAACCCTGTTGACAATACCCTAGCTCCCCCATTCGAAGCCAAAAACCCGCACCAAACTTGAGACGGCTGAAGCGCAGGAGGAGGAGGCAAGCGTCAGAGCTGCCCGGGCCGAGCTGCTGCTTGCTGAGGAACCTGGGTGAGTGGTCCCGGACCCGCGCTTTCCTACCCTGTTTTTCTGGGACTTTGATTTTGCATTTTCGTGTTTGGATGCCAGCTTCATGCTAGAGAGCGTCCCTGTCGTCCTAACTGCCTTTCAGGTTCCTGGAAGGAGAAGATGGCGAAGACACAGCCAAGATACTGCAGACAGACATCGTGGAGGCCGTGGATATTGCAAGCGCTGCCAAGGTGAGTCTGAGGCGGAAGAGCGGCCCAGGAGACCACCTGGCCTCCTTCATTCGTTCATTTTGTTTCCCACCCTCTTGCAGCACTTCGACCTGAACCTGAGGCAGTTTGGACCCTACAGACTGAACTACTCTCGTACAGGGAGGTAAGGCTGAGTTCCAGTGGCCCGTCCCTCTTTCTGAAGAAGGACTTAGTGATTTGTGTGTATGCATGTGTGCACACGGAGGCCAGAAGAAAGCAGGCTTTCTCTGTAGCTTTGGAGCCTGTCCTGGATCTGCTATGTAGACCAGGCTGGCCTTGAACTCACAGAGACCTATCTGCCTCTACCTCCCAGGTGCTGGGATTAAAGGTGTGCACCACCACCGCCTGGCAGGGCTTGTGTTTTCTTAACCAGGAAGCGTCAGGTTCCCTGTGGTCATCCTGTCTTCTTTTCCTTTGGTGCTGGGGTTATAGGCATGTACAGGACACCCAGATTGCAACGTGTGCGCAGTCCCAGCTCTGCTCTGTCTCTCTGCGCTGCCTCCTATACCTCCCCTGTCCCCTTTTTAGGGAAGAAGGGTTGATTCTGACCTATAGCTCTGGGGAATCATCACAGCGTGAGCTGGAGGGAGCTGAGCTCTTTTTTATGGTTCTGGATTTGGAACCCATGCCCTTGTGTGTGCCTGCAAGGCACACACTTGACTCTTGAGCCACACCCACCCTCGGCCGCTCAGCTCCAGCTTTGTGTGTGCCTGTTCACTTGATGGTGTACCTGCACACGGGCGTGTGTGCGTGTGATTTCCAGAGGTCAATGTGCCATCTTTTTGTGTTGCTTTCCGGTTTTTCTCCTGTTTATTGGGTATGAATGTGCCTGTGCATGGCCGTGACTTGCTGGAGTTTTCTCTCTCTGCCTGTGTGTGGGTCTGGAGCTCAAACTCAGGTCACCAGGCTCACACCGCAAGTGCTTCCGGCCGCTGAGCTTTCTTGCTGGACCTCCACTTTATTTTTTAGCGTTTCTAAGTTTTTACTATTTTACACGAGTGTTTCGCCTGCATGTGTAAATATCATGTCAGAAGAGGGCATCAAATCCCTAGGAATTGGGGTTACAGATGGTTTGGTTGAGTTAATGTGTGGGTGCTGGGAACCGAAGCCAGTGTTCTCCATAGGAGCGGCAGGTGCTCACCGCTCAGGTCTCTTTAGTCCTCCACCTTACTGCTGAGCGGGTTCCTCACTGAACCTGGAGCTTGTTGGCCGCCTGGACTGTGTCCAGTAGGATCTGTCTTCCTTGGCCTCCCCAGCACTGGGATTACACGTGTGGTTGGGATCTAGGCTTAGGTTGTGTGCTTTCGTGGCAAGCTCTTCCCTGACTGAGCCATCCCGCCTCGTGTGATTTGTGATCTCTTGTGGCTGCGTTTCCTCAGCTGCAGGAGCTGCTTCCTTCTTCAGTCGAGGGGCTGGGGCGGGGCTGACCGAATGATTCCCATCAGGTCAGGGCGCCCCCTGAATCAACTCTGCTTCACCTCCACAGACACCTGGCATTAGGAGGTCGTCGGGGTCATGTGGCTGCCCTCGACTGGGTGACAAAGAAGCTCATGTGTGAGATCAATGTCATGGAAGCGGTGCGGGACATCCAGTCAGTGCTCCCTCTGCTGGCAGTCGATGGGAGTGGGTCGGCTGTTCCCAACTGGGTGATGCCCTGTGGTCCTGGCTCCATGGAACTCCTCCCCCTTTCTACCCAGCTTTCTCCATTCTGAGACTTTGCTCGCTGTGGCTCAGAACCGCTGGCTTTACATCTACGACAACCAGGGCATTGAGCTCCATTGCATCCGTCGCTGTGACCGAGTAACTCGACTTGAATTCCTCCCCTTCCACTTCCTCCTGGCCACCGCTGTGAGTGGCTGTGGAGCAGAGGGCCCTGTGGCAGCCCTTGGGGGGAGCTTTCTCCTTTAGGACCAGCAGAGGGACACTGGGCAGCTGGACATCTATCTCTTTCTCCCTCTCAGTCAGAGACGGGGTTTCTGACCTACCTGGACGTGTCAGTGGGGAAGATCGTGACAGCTCTCAATGCTCGGGCTGGCCGGCTCAGCGTCATGGCACAGAACCCTTACAATGCTGTGATTCACCTGGGACACAGTAACGGTCAGTTCCTGGCTTTTTTTCTTTTTGAAACAGGGTCTGGTGTTAGAGGAGGCTGCTTGTTTGTCCTGGCCGCCCAGAACCAAAATAACCGCACAGAAAACTGTATTAATTAAATCACTGCTTGGCTTATTAGCACTAACTTCTTATTGCTAACTCTTTCATCTTAACTCATTTCTATTAATCTGTGTATTGCCATGTGGCTGTGGCTTACTAGCAAAGTTTCAGCATGTCTGACTCTGGTGGCTCCATGGCTTCTCCTTGACTCCGCCCTTCTTTCTCCCAGCATTCATTTTAGTTTTCCCTGCCTGACTCTGCACTCCCTGCTCTGCTATAGGCTCAAAGCAGTTTTTTTTTTTTACTAACCAGTGGTATTCACAGCATACAGAGGGGAGTCCCACATTAGTCTGGTCCTGTAAGTCTTTTTCTGTCTTGTCAGCCATCTCCCAAATAACAACGTGGAGACTTATGAGTGCTCAGCCTTAGCTTAGGCTTGCCCCACTAGCTCTTCTACCTCAGCCCGTTGATATTGATCTTTGTTCTGTCATAGACCCCACCCGAGCCTACTGCCAAGCTTGTTACCTCATCTCGGTACTGTCATACTGTCCGTGCTGCTTCTCTGCCTTCCTAGAGTTCTCTCTGCCCGAAGTCCTGCCTATACCTCCTGCGAGGCTATTTGCCGGTCAGCTTTTTTTATTAGACCAATCACAGTAATACACCTTCACACAGTATACAGATATTCTATAAGTACCTGTGTCAAACTGTCTTTCCAGCAGCCGGCCTGCCTCCTTTTGCGCGTGTGTGCTGGCCTGACTGACGTGCTTCTCTTGTGCTTTTCTGGCCCTCCACTAACAGCAAGAGCCCTGGCTGGTTCGCTCTGGTAACCCGGATTCTCTCCTCTTACCTCCAGGCACCGTGTCTTTGTGGAGTCCAGCTGTGAAGGAGCCACTGGTCAAGACTCTGTGTCACCGTGGTGCGGTGCGGGCCGTTGCAGTGGATCCCACAGGCACGTAAGTCACTTGTTGGGGGCGGGGTGTTGGGCGTGGTTAGGCAGGAAGAGATGGAAGGTAGTTCCATCCTGAGTTCCCTTAGGAGCACAGGCTGCATCCGGCCTGCATGTTGTGTGTGTCCTTGCCGTCCTGTGCAGATGGCCTAGTTTATGGGAGCACTTCCCAGGCCTGCTGGTGTTGTGTCACTGAAGACCTTTGGTGGCTCTATTACTTGATGTTTTACAAAAGTCTCTCCAACCTGAATTGAACTCCTCTCTAGCCACAGGAGAATAGATTCAGGGACCCATGCTAATGTCCCCAGGCAGCCCAGAGCCTTGCCCACCAGAGGTGCCCTGTAAATGTCTGAAGGATGAGAGGATTAAGAAGACAGTACAAGTCAGAACAGTCGGGGAATGTTGGTTCTCCCTCAGACAGGAGACCTCTGAACCAACACCTTTGATGAGGATGCCTCGGTGTATTGTAGTTGCTAGCACTGCCCGGCTGCACCTGACCTCTGAACTGACACTTTTTTTTTTTTTTTTTTTCCAGACAGGGTTTCTCTGTGGCTTTGGAGCCTGTCTTGGAACTAGCTCTGTAGACTAGGCTGGTCTCGAACTCACAGAGATCCGCCTGCCTCTGCCTCCCAAGTGCTGGGATTAAAGGCGTGCGCCACCACCGCCCGGCTGAACCGACACCTTTGATGAGGATGCCGAGGTGGTGTGTTGTAGTTGCGAGCACTGCCCGGCTGCCTCTGACCTCGTTTTAATGATGGATAAAGGAAGGCTTAGCAAGCTGATACTCCCATACAGTGTGTGCCTGAGGATGGGGAGCTCTCTGCTCCGTA